CCGTGAGGGCGGCGCGGCGGCCGTGAGGCGGAGCCGGGCCGGGCCCGCCCCGCTCCGTCACTGCCGGGCCGCCATGGCGTCCGGGCCCGCGGGCCGCGCCGCCGAGGAGCCGCCGCCGCCGGAGCCGCCCGCCGAGCAGAAGCCGCCGCCGCTGCCGCCCGCGCAGGAGGAGTTCTCCTTCCTGCCGCTCGTCCACGACATCATCAAATGGTAACGGCGGGCACGGCCGCCACCGCCCCCCGCCCCGCCCCGCTCGGCGCTGCCTCGCCGCAGAGCGCCCGGGGCCTGCGTGAGGAGCAGGGCTAAGGTGTTCTCCCAGCCGGTGGCGTTCTCCCAGCCACAGCACCCTCGGGGGTGCAAAGGGATGCCCGCCCCCTTTAGTGATGCTCACCCGGCTCCCGGCATCCACAGGTTGCTTTGGATGGGAAGAAGGCAGTGGGGTTCCCTCGAAGTTGTTTTTTCATCCTTAGCATCCTCATAATGCCTTGAACACGGAGCTGAGTTATTGGACCCTCCCTCAAGTGATGCTCCCACAGCCCTCACTTCCCCAGGATGCCCTGAAGAGGTAGCGGTCACCCTGCAAGTGATGCTCTCCATCCTCCCAGCATCTTCTTTGCCCTTTTTCTCTCACCTGGAGTTCCTGGGAAGAGTGTTGGAGAGAGCTGGCACAGCCCCAAGTGCATCTCCACTCTGAGTAGTGCCAGGGTGGTGTCAGGGTCACCTGAGCAGTGCAGATGCTCCCATGGCTCAGGTACACTGCCCCACCGCTAACCCCAGAGCAGGAGCACTGTGTGCCCACTGGGTTATTGCTCCAGAGAACTGTGCTCTTTGGCTGATAACAGCCTCAGGAAGCAAAGGCAGTGTGTCAGGAATGCAGCCCATTTCTGGGAAGTTGTAAAAAGGGGGATGGCTTCCTCAGTGGGACATACACTGTTCTCTTCCCAGCTCAAGATAAGCACTGTACAGGTGAAAGGTGCTGGTACAAGAATCCTGAGAACTGATGTGTTTCTGGGTCAGGATAACCCCTCCGGAGATGCTCATCTGAATTCCCAGAAAGGGGATGTCTCTGCCATGGAAATCCATCCAGGCAGGCTCTGTGCTCTCACCTGGACAGGGTGAGGCAGTGGGCATGGGAAGCATGAATTGATTTCTTCCTGCCCTCTCCCTGTGCACTAGCTGAGGAGCTGATTTGTGTCCTGCTGATGCTTCACTTGGAGCAAACATGTCTGAAAGGTGAGGGAGCTTCATCCTTAATGGCTCTGCAGCCCAAGCAGCCCAATCCATGGGAATTAATCCCTTTGACACGCCAGTCCAGAATGGGCATGAGAACACAAACACTGTAATTTCACTCAGTCTCCTCACTGTGCTAGGTGTAGGCCATCAGGCTGCTCCCTAACCTTGATTCTCTCTGATCTGTGCAGACCACAGAGTGAAGCTAAATCCCCTGCCAGGTGTGTGCATGTACATCACCAAAGTGGGCAGTAGCCATGGGCTGAGACCTCCCAGACTGTGATGTGTCACTGATCAGGTTGTAGTGACTCACAGATGACAGTCCCAGGGATATCTTGTGCCCTGTCCCACCAAGCCACCCACTCCTGCTGCCCAGCTACCTCCCTTGGCTTTGTTTTTGGCCTTTCCTGGATGGCTTGAGCCGACGTAGGGGCTGAACAGTGTGGCAGAAAGGTGGCACCACAGTGGCCAGCGGTGGGATGTTGTGCCTCCTGTCCCTGACAGATGGCAAACGGGCTGTCCTCTAACACAGCCTCGAGTGGCAGAGCCCAGCCCTGCTGCTCTGACACTGACTCAGCTGTGAGGACACATCTCCAAGGTGACTCTGTGCTCCGGAGCAAGGATGTATCGCGTAAATTTGCTGACATTCAAGGATGGGTGCTGTTTCCTGTTGTTTGGGTCTGGAGAAAGTTTTCCTAAACAGAGTCTGCTGATGTTTTCAGCCTTGTACAGTCAACAGCATCACTGCTGAGGTCCCACTGTGTGGCTCTGCCAATGGTGGGTTGTGCTGGTGTAGTGAAGGGCACTGTGCCTTAAGGCAGGTTTTGTGCCCAGTGTATCATTAATCAGGTTAGGAGCTGTGGTTGGATGCTGTGTTGAATCCTGCAGCTGCAGGCTCTTCCCATACCTTCCCACTCCCACATCTCCATGCTCCCAAACGGGGAATCACTTCAGTGGCTTGATGTAGCAGGAAAACTACCCATCAGGAGTAAAAAAATGCACCAACCCTGAAATATTTATCCCTTTGGGTCAACCAGCAACAGGCAGCTGTCAGTTCTCTTTGAGTGGGGAAGGGGATGGGATGTGAGGAGGACACCCCTGTCAAAGCCAGCCTGCAGCTGTGGTGGATGAAAGGCAGTGTCACCCCATCCTTCCCCAGATGTGCCGTGGGGTTGGTTGTGTGTGTGCTTCTGTATTTTTCCACTGCCGACCTGGCCCTGAGTGCCTGCATAATGGGGAGACATTATAGTACCAGCTGCAGTTTTATTTAGAAGGGAATAATGAATATTTTGTTCCAACAGGCTTTTGAAACAAGCGGCGGCCATCTGCTTAAAAGTTTTGCTCTCAGCCATGTCACGATTCCCCAAAGTTATAATCGAGCACCTCTCTGCCCTGGTCATGCCAAGCAGATTTATTTTTAGGTCTGGCTATTGAACAGGCTCCCAGTTTTTCAAAGACCATTAGAATCCTGCTCTCCCTATTAACAGGCATCCTGGAAGCGGGGATTTGCTTTTGCCTGGAATCAGTAAAACTTCTTGCTGGTGCTAACAAAGCTGAGTCAGATACTAATGAGGGTTCAAGGGCAGACGCTGCCTCAGACAACACTGAGCCTTGAAAAGCACAGAGCTGGCTGCAGAGCCAATTCTGATGCTCTTAAAAAAAACACCACAAACCAGCCCAAAAAAAACCCACTGCTTCTCTTTTATTAAGTATAAATCCCCAGAGACTCATTTGAAAGCTCCCAAGTACCATTTTCTCTGCCTTTGGACACTCTCTGACACTTTGGGGAACAGTTTCTGTTTTCTGCTGTCAAGCTGTTTGGTTGCATTGATTTTTTTTGTATTACAGCAGCAACAGGTCACGGGTGAGACTGAGATCTTTTTTTCCAGGTGACTACACACAACACATACGCAATCTTACCTTCCCCAAAGAGAGATACAGGAGTTCAGAGGGAGAATTTAGCCTGCTCCAGGGTGATGTTTGAAAGCTGCAGAGCAGCTCCTAACCTGATTAATGCATCCTGAGGTGACTGGATTGTGTGCTGGAAATCTGCAGGAAACCAGGTTGCCCCATAGCTACCCAGTCTCTATCCATCTGTGTCATTTTATTGGGATAAATGAATCAGGTGTGTGTAGCTAGATACCAAAAGCAATTTTCCCAGTGAATTTCCAGGTTGCATTGGAAATTACAGCGTTTTCAATAGCATAATTCACAGTGTCTCAATTTTCTCTCCTCTGCAGCATGGACAAGGACAGCCAGGATGTTCACCAGGTACTGAATGAGCTCAAGAACAAGTTCCAGGAGATGAGGAAGCTGATCAGCTCCATGCCTGGCATCGGGGTGAGCCCAGAGCAGCAGCAGCAGCAGCTGCAGAACCTGCGGGAGCAGGTCCGGACCAAAAACGAGCTGCTGCAGAAGTACAAGAGCCTTTGCATGTTTGAAATCCCCAAGGAGTAGGAAAGACCCAGCTCCACTCTCCAGGTCTGAGATACCTCCTGTCCAGGCTGAACAGAAGCTGGGTGGCAGAAGCTGACATTTCTTTCTTTAGGTTTTGTGGTTACAGAGCTGTGCCTGTGTGGACCATGGGGGTGTGACACTGGACCAGGACACCGTGTGCTCTCCTGGGACGATGGCAGCAGCACGTTCCCTTGATCAGCTGCAGGACTGTGCACTTACATATCCCATCCCCTGTTTTCTCTTGGGGTGGGGTTCATTCTTTTTTACTTTCAAACAAGCAGGAGACATTTTGCTTTCTCCTCACTAAGGGTCAAAGTACCTGCTGGTGAAAAAGCAGGCATTTCTGAATTTTTTTTTTTTTTACTTAAAAATGGCCAAACATCAAAAGGGAACATAAGAGGGAAGCATTAACTGTTTGGCCCTGCTCCTGGAAAGAGTCTCTGGTACATTTTCCATTCCCTGTGTGTTGGAATCGGAATGATTGCTTTCAGTTACTTCTGTATTTCTCTTTTTAAACAATTGGTGGTTGTGTCTGAGATGAGTCAAATAAAGATTTATAAATTCCAAATTGCCCCTCTTGTGTTCACTGAGTGGATGTGGGCAGAGCAGGGGCAGGATGTTGGCAGCACTTGGGATTCTGGGCCTAGCTCCAATATTTTTCCCTGTTAAAACAGAGGAAGGGCAAGAATCAAAACAAAGGGCATAAATGATAAAAGCTTTTCGTTATTCCATACTAAAGTCAGGCTCAACAAGGCAGGTAAGTTCCACATCCAGGGGCTTCCCACAGCCACAAACATTTGAGCAGCTGGAACAGGTAATTCTGCCCAGTGGGATGGTTGCAATTCACCTGTAGCTCAGAGATTTTCTCTGTCCCCACTGAGATACTGTACTAGTACTTTCTTTGGGAAGGTGCCAGTGTGTAAACTCTGAGTAAAGCAGAACACTGAGATAAACAAAGCACAATGTACACATTTTTTATTACTGAAATTGCCTTTCCATCAGCCATTGCCTGTCCCAGCTCAATAAATTCCTGTGTCTCATGCCTGGACGATGTTTTCCATTCTTTTGCCAGTTGCTGTTCCTGTGAAATCAGGCATAGGCAGAGCTGGAAGAAGCAACTTGTTGCCAAAGAAATGTCTGGCACTTAATTCAGGAACAAGTTAACTCTGTCAACTTGAATCCAAGTTTCAAGTGTATTTGAGAGGGTTTGCTTTAAGATAATTTTCTTTGCAGCCTCATTCCCCCACCGTTGTTTTGTGGCTTCAATATGATTTTTTTTTGCCATTAATATGTACTAAACATAGATTTGTGCTGCTGCATGAGGGGGAAGCGGAGGTTGAAAATGAGCTTTCTTTGAAGAGTGATCCTGTTTCCCTTTCACTTCTAGCAATGATTACTGCAACTTGTTATTGGGAAGAGATTAAAAACCATCAGATGTAAAGGTGACCTTTCGAGCAAAGTACTTCCTTTACTCATATTGCACAGTAAAAACAATATCCCAGCTGGGGTGCCAATGAATCAGTCTGTGTTGACATCATTAAAGTGTGCTTAGTTAATCAGCAAAGAGCATGAAACACAATCAGCTCTTTCTAACGAAGTGATGTCAGTTTGCTGGGTGACTGCGGGCAGTGACATGCCATGCCCGGCGTGTCATGGGGCTGGCAGTGCCGTCACTCGGCGTAGTGGAGTGAGGAAAGAGCGCTGCCTCGGTGACCCCTTGGAGTGAGCAACTCCCTGCCTGGCCCCTCGTTACCCTGTGTGGCAAAACCCCGGTGGCTTGCAGAGGCGGGAACCTTTGCACTGGGAGTCAGAGAAAATGGGGCAACACAGGGCTGGAGTGAGAGGCTGGTTTTGCCACCTCAGTGCTCAGGCCTTTTGTTGAGCAGGCTTTGCTATGGGGTTAGGGAAAGCAAGCAAAGGCAAACCCATAGGTGTAATTTTTTAAAAGATTTTATTAATTTGTAGAAAAAATAAAACATCAAGTTTCACCCACGGTAGAAACACTTGAAGATTTTTTTTTTTTGTTCATGTCAATGACAAACAATACCTACATAAAGTGCCTATTATTTTATTTTGTAAAACCCTTCCCTCTCCCCCCACCCTCCCCAAATCTTGCAAATCAAACAAGACAAATGTAAACAAGAGTCAGTTTTTTGGTCCATCGGGGCTGTAACTCTGCAATGTCTTTGCAACAGCTTAGGAGTGTCTTCTGCATGTGTTTTGCAGACACAGATGAACACACAACACAGAGCCAGAGTCCGTGCACAGTTTCTCAAGTTGGAAAAAAAAAAAATTCGAGAACCAACCCCAAAGCCCCAGGCAGGTGCTGGCCGGGCCCCTGCTCTCCCTCCTGAAGGCAGTGCCTGAGGCTGGGTGGTTTGGGAGGGAAAGAAACACCAAGGTCTGTGCCCTCCACACTCATCCTCCCACCTGGCTGCCCAGCAGCTCACCCTTTCCCCGTCTCTTTACCCAGAGGAGGAGGCTGTTCCCAGTGACATCCCCTCCTGCCCTCCAAAGTCTCCCCCTTCGCATCCCTCGCTCCCAAAATGCACCCCCAGGGAGGGACACGATGAAAAACGGGAGGAGGGAGGCTGGGGGAGAGACGACGCCCTCTCTGCCCGGGCGGGCACCTGCCCAAAGTCAATTCAGAAACGAGCATCTTTCCCCCCTCCTTTCCTTCTTTCCTTCCTTCCTTCTCTCCCGTGGCGAGCGGGGGCTCCTAGCTGATCACGCAGCGATCCTTCTCCTTGCCGTGCCCGCCGCCGATGGCTTTCTCCCGGATGTACATGAGGTCGCTGTGCACGCTGGGCCGCCGGGCGAAGGGGGCCACGATGCCGTACGCCTCCTCCGTGCCGCCCCGGCCCCCCTCCTTCAGCAGCTTTTTGCCTTTCAGAGCCTTCTTGTGCAGGATGTCGCAGTACTGGACCGAGACCTTGCGGTGCAGGTCGGGGCTCATCTCGCTGGGCAGCTTGGCCATGGCGAAGAGCGCCTGGAACATCTGGTCCAGGCTGCTGTTCCTCTTGGCTGAGATCTCGAAGTAGGCACATTTTTTGGGGTCCCCTCCCACCAGCTGCTCGATCTCCCGGGGCTGCACCTCCCGGTAAAAGTCCCGGTCGCCCTTGTTGCCGCAGATGACCAAGGGAACCTCGATGTTCTCCTTGGTTTTGTTCTTCAGGCACGACTTGGTCTCCAGGATTTGCTGCTTCAGGCGCTGCACCTCCTCAAAGGAGTCTCGGTTGTCCAGGCTGAACACGAGGATGAACACATCTCCTGGGGACAAAGAGGGAACGTGAGATGGTTGCAGGGATGGGGACACAGAGAGACCCACTCCTAAGCCAAATAAAGGCTTGGAGAAAGAAGGACAAGGCAGCACCAAGAAGAGCTGCCCAGCCACTTGAACACACAAAATCGTACCTCCCCTCCTCCCAGGACTGCAAAAACATCCCCAAACTGAGCAGGAATGTGGCAGAGGGACCTCCTGACAAGTACCTGTGAGGATGGAGAGGCGGCGCATGGCTGGGAAGGGGTGATTGCCCGAGGTGTCCAGGATGTCGAGCTGGTACACCTCACCACGGATGCTGTAGAACTTGCGGTGGAAGTCCTCGATGGTGGGCGTGTATTGCTCCTCGAAGCGGCCGGTGAGGAAGCGCGAGACGATGGCCGTCTTGCCCACCTTGGAGGAGCCCAGGATGACCATGCGGTAGCAGTTCTTGGCGGGGATGCTCAGCTCGGCCTCGCTGGGACACATCTTCTTGATCATCGCTGCCAGTTTCATTGACGCCGGCAAAAGTACAGCTTGCGCCGAGAAGGAGACGAGGAGAAGGAGGAAGGCGCTGCCTGCCCGGCTGCTCAGCCCCTCTTCCCTCTCAGGAAGGGTCGGTGTGAGCTCTGCACGGCGGCCGCCGAGTTATATGGAGCCGGCAGCGACCGCCCCTCGGCGCGTCACGGCCCGGGGCGGCGGCGGCTGAGTCAGCGCCCGGCTCCGCGCCCGGCCCGGCCCGCGCCCCCGCCGGGCTCCGGGCGGCGCGCACCGCTCCGGTCCGCAGCCCCGGCCGCACTCCCGGGGCTCGGCTGCCCTGTCCCGTTCACAGCCCGCTTGGGGCTCCGGGTGCTTGGCAGCCCTGTCCCGTTC